ATGTAGTGCCTAAACCTCTTGACTGTCGATAAAAAAGAATAACCCTGGCGACTATGAGTGTTAGTGCCTATTGAGTAAACCATGGCAACGATGGACTTCGTGCCGATTCCTTAGGATAATCCTTAGGAATGAATGAACGAGGAATAGATGATTCTTAGGGTAGATCCTTAAGAGTAAAGAAAATAATGGGGATGGGTAATTGGGTTGATTGTTTGATGTTTAAACATAATAATTATATTATTGTGGGTTGAAAACCCTATGTACTCACCAGGTTTCCCAACCTGACCCACTCAGTTTATTTGAATCACAGGTGTTGATATGAAGTTACATTACACTGAGAGATTAAGGAGATATAAATCACTAGTGATAATGAATGTAAGTTCTGTTTATGCTTATGTTTCTGTATTGACGATGACATCTCAATGTTTTAAAATGAATAAAAATACATTTCTTAGGAAATGCTTTGATAATTTATTTATCATGTTTTTCGGGGAACAAATTCCGCAACATTTTTATTAAAAGAGATACTCTGATTTTTGTAAAGCAAAAACAAAATCGGTCTTTTCTGGCCGTGAAAATGGGGATGTCACAATCCTCCCCCAAATATTAAAAGTGTAAAAGAGGGGCCGTAGAAACTCACATTCGATGCGTGATCTCGATCTAGGCTTGCTTTTTGGTGAAGCTTCACGTGAGAACCTGCATTTTGATGGCTTTTGAACTAAAAGGGCTTGTCTTGAAATAATTTAAATTTAAACAATGATGTTTTGTAATTGTCTAGCACAAGGGACTGTTTCGTGACAATTTATATCAAAAGAGTTGTTTTGGTCTTTTAAAATAAAGGGAGGGACCATTTTTTTGTACTGACTTGATCAATGTATGCTTTAAAAGGATTTATGTGAAGGGGCCAATTTTAATTTAAAGTTACAACTGGAGGGACTATTTTTGTCAAAATCTCTAAATATACAAATGGGGGAAAATGGTGTGTCTCCATCATTCGATCGGGGAAAGAAACGAATCGGCAGCAGCGATGGCATCGGAGGAGGTGGTTTATGAAATCATAAGGAAGGGAGAGGCAGTCGACCTACGGCAAGCTCCTCTTGGTCCTCTTGTCTTGTCGCCGATAGCAACCCATCTGAAGAGAGCAGCAGCAGTCGATCGATTCCTTGGAGGATGCCACTAGCGATCGGTCTAAACATGAGAGGGAAGAAGAACGGAAAGAAGAGAAGAGTTGGGGCTGATGGGCGATGTCGAATCGGAAAGGCACCACCCTCAATCCAGCGTACCTAAGGTACGCCCAGCGTACCAGCCTTCTTCCCAACTTTAACCCACTTTCAATTTACTACAACTTCTTCGATTCAAGTCCGATTTTAGCGTTTTTTATATGCACAAAAATTTATTGAAGATCCCCACAATATTATCTAGATATCTTGGACTAAAAACTTCTCGAACAAAAATCCATATTTCATATAAGAACCCGATCTATGACTTTTCCCTTTTCTACTTTTCGGCCCAAACACAATTCAAAGGTTAAGATCTCGCAACCATCATTGCCTCCTTTCAAAAAGGTCTAAACATTACCTCCTTAAGGCCCAAAGCCTTTACACAATCGACTTCCGGCCCACAGCTCTGGGATAAAAAATGATAGGAAACAAGATGTTACAGTCTAATTTTGTATTGGGTTCTCAAAAAAGGTAATAGTCACTTAACACAACATCTAAAATCATCTAAAACATAGAAACTTGTAAAACAAATAGGGAATTATGGAAATTTGACCAATAAGACTAACAATTTAAAGGGTGTGATGATTCAAAATAAGGTTAGGGATAAAATGAATCAATCCCAACATGTAATGGGTCATTTGCTTATTTATTATCTCATGACCATGATGATGGTAGAATTGATGACCGGTAGTGGAGACATATTCCTAGGGTATCAAAAATAACATCACCAAATAATTCATTGAAAAAAATGAGACATATAAAATAGGGAAAATGTCACTGTAACACAATAAAGTTTTGTCATTTGTCTGATTTATCACTATTTTTTTTTTTTCACAATATATCGTATTATTTTACCTGTTAAATAAGGGAATCATTCAAATTTATTTTGGTTTCACCGGTTACACTTGGCTATATGGCTTTTCCTTTTTCATTTTTTAATATGTGGATTTTATTCAAGACCTTAAATTAAAACAATCCACACGTCAGCTTCATTTGTTCTTAAATGGACTTTATACCTTTTGTGTTCAGCCAATTCTAACTCCAACCACCACCACAACCGTCCACCTCCCACCTCCTTCTTTCACCTATCAATTGTCCACCTCCCAGCAGGAGCACCATGGTTACTTGCCTTGTTGATTTTCTCAAAGGTTCAAAAGGAAAGTTAAAGGGTGTTCATAGTACTTGCCTAATTATTTTCTCAAAGGTATCAGCTTTCCGGGGTGTCCAGTCGTTGATAACTTCTTCGGCGACTGCAGATAGTCAAGCTGGCCAGCCGACGGTGACTTGTTCACAATGGATGTTCTTCGGTGGGTTACTTAGTCTGGATTTGCGGTTACTTCTGCTCTACCGGAATGAATATGCAAGCCGATATCTCTGTTTCGCCTCTTGTCTTCAACGATCTCAAAACCATGACCTGCAACATCCAAAGAGCTTATTTCAGTACCTCAAAATAGAGTAATAAACAAAGAACATATAATAATTTCGACCCTTATTTGGATCAATGGAGGTCAACGTAGCAACGACATTGAAATCATAAGTCCCTTCACCTTTACCATCATTTGATAATAAGCATCAAAACCAAAATTCGCATGTGCCACCACATTATCTGGTTCATAACACCGTGCAACAACGCCGAACAGTTCACCTTCCGACCCACAATCCCAGTCAAACGCCGTCTGCAACATTTTCTTATCAACACCTTCCATTGCTACACAACGACTCAGATTCTCAATATTGTTAGCAAAATTCAGACCTGAATTCATCAATTGTAGAGTATAAATCGGTTTCCCATTCACATCAAAAAGTACCTAGTTCTTCTCATAAACCAAATTCTTTAATGTCCTCATTGTATAGCTCGTAGACGTAAGAACTCACCGGAACCCATGATGCTTTGGAGTTCTATTTGTTCGCCGACAATTGTTTGAATAAAAAGATGAACCCTAGATTTCTTTTTTTTTTTTTTTTTTTTTTTTTGTAATCCCAACAAACCAGAAGCATCAACGATTTAGAGGTATAAAGCCATAAAGGGTGGGGATTTGTTTTAATTTAGGGTAAAAAAAGCCACGTATTTAAAAAGGAAAAAAGAAAAAGTCACGTAGCCAAGTGTAACCGATGAAACCGGAATGAATTTGAATATGATTGATTGTGAAAACATAGAAACTCATAAAACAAATGGTTGAGTAAATATTTGCATAGTTCACTCGACATAATATCTAAAATTATTTAAAAACATAGAAACTGCATAAAAAGAAATTTATGAAACTTTAACCAATAAGACTAACAATTAGTGATTCAAAATAAGGTAGGTATCGAATGAATCAATCCCAACATGTAATTGGTCATCTTCTTATTTATAATTTCATGATTAGCCATCAAGCTAGCTATCAAATGACAATGCTAGAGCTGGTGGCTATTAGTGTAAAACTGTAGACATCTTCCTAAGGTACCAAAAATACATGACAAAAAATAGTTAACGAAACATTTTCATAATTTATTGGAAAAAATGAGATATATAAAGCGTGACTACTTTAAACATTACTATTAGCTAAATATACATGTTCAATTTCATATCGACTTCTAAAAATAGAAATAGCCACTCTACACAATAACTAATAATAATAGTTCAAAAGTGTGTGACTATTTCAAACATTTTCATAATTTATTGGATGAATCGATTCTAACATGTTACGGGCCATTTGCATATTTATAACATCGAGATTAGCTGTCATGTGATGGTAAAATTGGTGGTCATTAGTGCAAAAGTATTCCTCATGGACCAAAAATCATAGAAATAAGTAACTCAAAATACGAGTTTGTCAAAACTACAGAAAATCATGGAAATAAGTAATTCTACACAATATCTAAAATCATAGAAATCCATAAATAAATATGAGTTTATCAAAATTTAACTAATAATAACAGTTCAAAGGTGTGTGACTAATTCAAAATAAGGTAGGTATCGGATGAATCAATTCTATCATGTAACGGGGCCATTTGCTTATTTATAATCTCGAGATTAGCTATCATATGATTGTAAAATTGATGATCCTTAGTGCAAACGTATTCCTCAGGAACTAAAAATAAATTACAAATATAGTTGATGAATCATTTGTATAACTCGTTCAAAAGGTAAAAGTATATAAAAACGTGATTGATTTATTTATTTGGAATCTCATTATGGTAAAAATTGTCACCATTAGTGCAAACATAAGGGACCAAAATTACATGACAATAGATACTTGAGGAACCATTTTAATAACTCTGTTGAAAAAAATATATATATCAATAACATGGTTAATTGAAATAGATCATCATTATACCTGGTCTCGGCGGGGCTCGAACCCGCGACCTTCGGCTCATAAGACCAACGCTCTAACCAACTGAGCTACGAGACCATTTAATTTTCTTCTTAAATCACAACAAAACATTATTAATCATTATAATATAGTATTTACATAACAAGTTGAATTCGTATATGAATCTATTACAAACCCAAAACCAAAAATCCAATATCAACTAATTCCCTATATATTATGGAATTGGTATGCTTTCCTGTCCTACTTTTTATAATTTATATTGCTTTCCATAACCACATTAATAATTATAAGCATGAGGAATATATTACTACAAAAGTATAATGAAAAACAGTGCACTCATAGTTAATGCTAGAAGAATATGCTTCACATATACTCTTGCCACTTGCTCAAAAACTCATTCTTTATAATCAAACCAATCCTCATCACTTTTGTGACACTATTTTTATTCATATATTCCATTTTATTAGATTCCCACATACATGAAGCTCCGGTGAAATTTAACATCGCCACCACCACCCTTGGCAGCAGGAATCAAGGCGGTGGTGGTGGTGGTGGTGGTGGTGGTATCAAGTTTTGTGGTGGTAAATGAAGCAGTGAGACTATCTCGGGTGGCAACTACACAATCTTTGGCAGGATACAAGAAGATGCTATTTTTCTGTCTTTTTTTTTCTTTAATGTTGTAGATGAGTTTTGATGAGAAAATATATCTTTATGAGATATCTGGGTGTAAACTTTTATTGATTGTCAGAGCAATCGGAATTTATTGCGATGGTTTCAAGTCGTATTTTAGAGACATTCAATCCAATATTCAGGATTAAAAAATATATATATTACATAACAAAGTTGTAATATTAGTATCATATGTTGTTTTTACAAGAATAACATATTAATTATATTTTAAAATTTTCGGAAGTTTTTTGTATTTTTAGTAAATAGTAAGTTTCATAATTTTATTTCTTTTCATTCTATAATAAATAAATAAATACTTATTTAGCTGGAACAAAAAAAGACAATTTCACTAGAATAACTATTTATAAAGCATGAATATCAATAACCATAGTATTTTCATAGCTATCACAAAAGAACCACGACTATTGCGAATAAAGGTTCATAAGTTTGGACTATCACTTCTTACGTGAAAATACTTAGGCATGGGCCACTTTCGACCTGGTATTGATTTTCATATGTTTAAAACCCAACCCAACACCTAAACCAGATGGGTTCGGTTTTTCAGTTTTGGGTTTAAACCCAATACCCAATCACAACCTAAGTTATAAGTCTTACAAGTCATCACTAGAGGTGTACAAAGCGGTTTTTTTTCCGAACCGGTTCGGTTCAGTGGACCGGTTCGGTTCAAGTCAACAAAGTCAACACCGGTTCACCCTTAAACCGATTCGGTTTCAAACCGGTTCACCATCAAATTTATCCGATCCTATACAAACCGGTTCGGTTTAGTGCAAACCGGTTCACTTCAAACCGGATCATCTTAAACCGGTTCAAAACCGGTTCTTCGAACATGTTAAAAAAAAACCGGCGGAAATTGTATCTTTTTTTGATTGTTTGTTTTATTTTTTGGGATATTATAGGTTATATATGTGTGGCCAATTGGTTAGAATTCTTTAATAGTTGACATATTAAAAAAAAATAAAAAACCCACTTAACAGTAGGTATGTATGTAATGTGTATGAAATTTGGTTTGTGCATATCTATTGAATTTAGACTCATTTCTGAGTAAATTTCGTGGGTATTTTTTTTTGGATATTTATATTGAAAGTATATAAAACATCTTCAAACATAAAAAAAAACATCTTCAAACATCTCGAAAAACCGGTTCATAACCGGTCCAAAAACCGGTTCATAATTGGTTCAAAAACCGGTTCATAATCGGTCCAAAACCGGTTCGGAAGTCCGGTTCATTGTAAACCGGTTCGAAACCGGTCCCATCGTTCGGAAATACGAATTGGTTCAAACCGCCGGTTCGGTTCGGCATCAGATCGGTTCTAGCTTGGATCGGTTCAGAGGTGAACCGGTTTTCGGTTCGGACACCGGTTCGGATCGTGAACCGGTTTTTTTGTGCACCACTAGTCATCACATAGAGAGGGTTTGATATTGTATGTAATGGTCAATGTGAGACTCCTTAAACACTTAGGCAGGGGCCACTTTCGACCTAGTATCGATTTTCATATATTTAAAAACCAACCCAACACCTAAGCCTGATGGGTTCGGTTTTTCAGTTTTGGGTTTAAACCCAATACCGAATCACAGCCTAAGTTATAAGTCTTGCAAGTCATTACATAGAAAGGGTTTGATGTTGTATGCAATGGCCAATGTGAAACTCCTTTTAAACACTAATAAGAGTTGTAGAGGGTGAAGTTGTGTGTAACGGGTGATATGGGACGATTCTATGAAGATAAGGAGAATGTGGACGTTAGAAAGATGGGAAATTTGTGAAACAACAAAAAAGGTGGGGGTGTTTAAAAAAATGACCAAGAAAATTGATGTTTCAGAAAATGACCACGAGTTCTGCAAAGAGGGTCTTTGCAAAACTCTTTCAGCTCTGAGGAAGTGACGTGGCAATGGTAAATTCGTAAAAACACAAAGAAAACTTAACAAATTTGAAAGGGTACTGCGAAAAAATTGTGTGTGAAATCGGAAAAAAAAATGTGTTTGAACTTACCAAAATCGAATAAATTGTGTTTGAAATTGTTTGAAAAAAATGTGTTTGAAATCGAAAAAACTTACCAAAATCGTTTTTTAGCCATGGCTATGCAAATAACAATTCCATTTTCTTGGTCATTTTTCACCCTCTCTGCGAGGACCCGTGGTCATTTTCTTAAACATCCATTTTCTTGGTTATTTTTTTCAAACACCCCTACTTTTTTTGTCATTTCACAAATTTTCCCTACAAATATTTGAACACAAGACTTCTCATAGCAATGTCCATCGTTCGATTTTTCTTGGTTTCTTAAATTTTACGAAATCAAATCCAAAACGAAATTTCCAGTTTTTGAAAAACATAAACTGTCGTTTATACTACGGTTTTGGTTTTTCAATTTTGGTTTGTCGGTTTTTCAGTCGGCGGATTCAATTTTGCTGACCCCTAAAATTACTTTATCAAAAAAAATCAAAAATTTTTATTATTTATACTTATCGTAGGATTAGAGTTACATTTGTAAAATGTGTCTCTTTCACATGCTCATTTCTAGTGTATATACGTCGAAACTATATACAGTATATGTTCAAATTTTATAAATAATTTGAGTCGGTGCATTATTTACTTGTGTCTACCATTTACTGTTAATGTCGTTTGTTGTGATGTTAACAAACATGAAACTCTAATCTTATTTACTCGCTAACTAGTTTATTTGGTGTGAAAGATTTTTAATAATTTATGATAACAAAACAGCAAATTAGTGCGTTCAAATTCCAAGTGATGGGCTAGCTTTGTCTCGCCGACTGATCAAACATCGATAAATGAAGTCAATGGATTGTGATAGTAGCAAATTTTGATCAAATAAATAATGATGGGAATTCAATTGATTGTGATAGTAGCAAATTTTGATCAAATAGTTGTGTTCAAATTGACTTGAGTATCCAAAAATATATTAGTCTTTTGCCTTGTATTTCCCAAACATTGTTGGCTGCAATCATAATTTGTGTAGATCAAAAGATCATTTGAAGAAGTTGCGAACAAAATCCATACATTATAGCAGAATTCAAAAGCAAAAAAACATGAATAACAACGACAGATTGAATCAAATCAAAACCATTGATAACAAAATCCCATAAATATAATTTCTTTCACTCCCTACCCTAATAACAAACCGTTACCAAGAAACAAAATCCCTAGTAGAAGAAACCAAGCACTTTACCACCAACATTTTTCCTCCTAGCTTCTTCATGGTCCATGATTCCAGCAGATGTTGTCAACACAATGTAACCAAACTGCAAGTATTTTTTTTTGTTAATAAAATAAATAATAGTACTTATTTATTTAGTATAATGTTAAAAATTGAAAATACTAACTTGTCTTGAAGGAAGAAGCCTTGCAGTCCATGGCTCAATTTCCTTAACTCCAACATCAAAACGAGGACTGATAACCCCACATTTGTTCAAACGCCCATTCAATTCAACCACAATCTTACCAGATCTATGGTCATCAACATACTCAAATTCACCAATATAACCTGTTGAAAATAAAGTCATGTCATTTAATCATTTACTTTTTAAAAGAAAAAAAAAACAATTTTAAAGAAAGGGGAATACCGTGTTTTTGCATAACCATAAGAAACTTGATGATGACTTTTGAAGATGGCCTGATCATGACCTGTCTTTTCCCCCTCTTTTCAGCATTGTACATGCTCTTAAGGGCATCATTCAGAACACTAACCCTCACCATGTTGATAAATTCAAGCTTCTGCAACAAAGCAATATAAATAAACATTACACTTCATATTAAAAAGTATCTTGCTTTCATCTTCATTTTCAAAGAAAAGCAAAAAAAATTGAAGACATGACTTAGTTGATAAATTCAATATTTTGGCACCTATGATCTAAGTTTCTGGTATACGATAGATAAACAAATAGTTCTATGGCCGTTTGATAATTCATTAAGAACGGCATCACATCAAAGAAATTAGCAATAGATAAGCCAACATCACTAAATCAGAGCCCCAGCATATCCTTTCATAATCGACATTTTTCCTTTGAAAAACTCATAGACACAAAGGCAGTAACGCATTAGAAATGTACTATGCAATCTCTTAGTGTATATAACAAGTGATTACAACGAGATGAACAACCACCTAACATGTGAGTTTGATTTTGATGTTGTACAGGTAAAAGAAAATAGTAACAACAAGAAAACGTCGATGAGTTAACAAGCATTTCACTGATTTGGAGCACTAGAACACTAATCACTCTGGTATCAAACGAAAATCCAACCTACAAGATAAAATCATCGTTGCAAAAACAACCAGGACGAAATAATCACATGACAACAGGTTGATAGATCGCACAAACATAAAACTTAATCGAAACTAAAACAGTCAGCAAAAAAACGGCGAGATCCTACTACACAAACAAAAAAGATCGAATAAAAATGTCTATCCGTAGACGATATCTGCTTGTGTGTGTTTGTGTCTGTTTGTGTGTGATTGAAAGTGAAAACTAGGGTTTACCTCGAAGGAAATATGGAAGCGGCGTTTCTGTTGGAACTGTGATACGAGAGAATAGTCGGAGAGGGCGACACACACATTAGGGTTTGGCTTTTATAGGGCATGTCAATCGGTATAACTTTTGAAAATTTCAGAAAAGCCCTTCAACTAACAAATTTGTATTATTTTGATCGGTTCACTTATTTTTTGTCTTGATAAAGCCACAATCATCGCAATCATCCGAGAAACTTGTTACTTCAATGGTTTTTTTGGGTTACCATTTTGCGACCTGTGGAAGAAGTTAGAGATTAGGGAAATTGAGTAATCTAGATATTAATGGGTTTTTTTTAAATTGCAATAAAAATAATTATGAAAAATCATTACTCGGTCTGGATTGATCCATTCCGGACTCGTATTCGTAGTGGATAAATGGGTATAATAAACCGACCCGGTAATTTGTGACCTCTATAAATAACATTTTGAATCCATTTCATACTTCATTTCGAACTCACAGATGGTATTTCGGACATCAAACCAACTCAAACAATGTCATCATCTAGCAATTAATAGATTCATTTTTTTGTGGATATTTTCGTTTAATTTTTATAATTATATGTCTTTATTTATGATTATGCGTTAAAAAGTAGATATTTCTATGTATTTTGCATGATTTGATGCGATTACATGGGTATTATTTATTTTCCTTTGAAATTTAAAAGTTTTTAGGCTATTGTAAGTTATATGTAGATATATGAGCACTATAACAACATATCTTTAAAAAATCCTAATTCTAAAATGTCTGGAACGACTCTGAAATACGAAGATCATGTCTGGAATATGTAGAACACGTTCAGAATACGTACCACTGTTTCAGAATGGTATTCTAAAATGTTGATTCGGAATGGTGTTCCAGAATGTCCTCCGGAACATATACTTAAGTATGAAACATGCAACAAATGCCTACTTATAATTCTTTTGATTATAGCATAACATAACATAGGAAGCAGTTGTGACTAAAACCTGCAGTCTTAAACTCAATCGGGAAATCATGGCCCTTTTACAACATACACCACAACGTGCGGCCATGTTTAAGGCATCGTGTTTTGGTGTTTATGTTAACATGCTGATGGGTGTCGAATGTCACACTTTACTACGTCATTATCTTATGTGCGAGGAATATGCTACTTATCCTCATGTTGACTTGTAAGAGCTTCTATTTTTGGTATACAATTATCGGGTTTGCTTTGACAAGAAAGCTTTATGATTTATTACAGGGTTGCGGTCCGGAGACTATTTCCACATTACTTCATATTCGACAAAGTTCATACTGTAAAGACCCAAATTTATTATACATAATATCTATAGGAATTACCTAAGTTTTCTTATAGTACATAATTTTATACAATTTAAAACCTTTACTTCCCAGGAAAAATCATGGGTTTACAATAGAGTCTATCTATTACATGAACAACAAAGAATTACAACAAATAGCAAACTTGTTATCTATTTCTTCCTTGTGTTCCTGTCATCTCTTCTGGTACAACGGTTGTTACATCTGGTGAGTTATTTTTATATCATTTCTTATCTTTCATCTTTTTTTCTTTTTCTCATACTCTATCATCTAATCTCTTTTTTTCATAACATACACGTCTATTAACATGATCACATCATACTCTTTCTACTCTTATCTTTCATCTTTATACTCTTTCTTTTAGCATATTCTTATCTTTCATCTTTCTACTATTTCTTTTAACCTATTCTTGTCTTTCATATTTCTATTCTTTCTTTTAGCTTATTAACATGGTCTTATCGTACTGTTCTCTTGGCATCTTTATAGGATTGTCTCATACCCTGCACGTACTCTAACTCTATACATGTCTTTATCTATTCTCATACTCTGCACATACTCTAACTCTATCTATGTATCTATCTCTTATGCCTCAACATACTTTTCTCATACAGAACAAGTAGTCTCATCCCATACTCTATTGTAAGGGAACAACATCCCACTTTCATTACTAAGCACGCTTACCCGGACTTACTTTTATATCTTATGATCTCCTCGTAGATCCTTAATCTTTATTCTTACTCTTGAGTCCCTCTCGGATTCCTTATACTCAATCCATCACGTATTAGATCTAAGTTCTTACAAATAACTCTTTTATCTTGTTTCTCTCAAGGAACCTTTCTCTATCTAGTAATAGTTAATTTGGATTATCGCAAGAATCATTTATCTACATTCCCAAAGTGAATCATATATCTTTTTCCCATATGGACGTAATCTCATTCCCGAAGGAATCATACTCTTTGTCCTAGAAAGAACCTCTACTATATTCCCGAAGGAATCTTTTATCTCTTGTCCATGAATGAACCATACTCTTGTCCCCAAAGGAACCTCCCATATCTTGTCCCCTAACGAACCATGTTCTGATTCCTATAGGAATCATACTCTTGTTCCCGTAGGAACCATACTCTTGTCCTCGAAGGAACCTTACATCTCTTGTCCCCCGAAGGAACCATGTTCTTGTTCCCGTAGGAACCGTACTCTTGTCCTCGAAGGCACCATGCTCTTGTTCCCATATGAACCGTACTCTTATTCCCATAGAACCGAATTATTGTCCCTGAAGGAACCTTACTCTTGTTCCCGTATGAACCTTACTCTTATTCTCATAGGAATCTCTATCTCTAGTTCCCGAAGGAACCTCTATCTCTTTAACTTTATCTTTGTTATGTGACTCATCACATAACACTAGTTCTAAGTACAGTTTATCTCCATGTCTCGTAAAGAGACTATCTAATCTTTTTTTTCTAGTATTAAACTCATTAAGTACTTAATATTTATATATGTCTATTATCATATAACATTCTACACAATACTAATGATATCCATACATACTTACACACTCTTATGATTATATTGCATATAATAATCCTCTAACTCTTTTTCATATCTATTGGGTAATAGAAAAAACCCTTTCTCGTCTAATTCCACGTATTCTTTGTTTACATACATGCTCTGCTACATGTATGTAAAGCCTGTGTTTCTGGCTAAGCATTAGTATGATGATGTAATAGTTAGGGTCAACAATTGTAGCCTATTTTGAAGTAATAAAGAAGAATTATTTGAGTATTATGTGATTTATGTGATTTTATGTGCATTATACTTATTTATAGCGACATAATAAAATAGAAATAAAAATTGATGGGTTTGAGCACAACAACATTCCTATGTGATCATGCAGCCCTAATTGCTTTGGATCTAAGTTTTTTCTCTAGTTATACATACAAATAGAAGTTCCAAAGCAATATCCCTAATACTAGCATACAATTTAAGAAATCAATATGAAAAACTAGGGTTTGATTGTTACCTCTCTTGTTATCTCGTAGTAACAAGTAATCCAATGATGATCTCGACTCTTGAAAGCTTGAGTGCCCCAAGTGTCGCACCTCTAATGGAATCACAAACACCAAAAGCAAAGGATGAGTGAGAGAGAGAGGGCATAATTTCAGCTAGGGTTTCTCTTGGAAGCAGTGGCCGAAATTGGGAGGTCAGGGGGTCCTTAAATAGTTGTAGCTACTAGTGTTTTTAGGTGGAAACCCTAATCCTTGCTTAGGCTCCAAGCAGCCCATGAACCCACCTTCTAGAAGGCCTTGGACGATTTCTATAGGGCCTCCTATAGATTTCGTCCAACCCTTTCCAAGGGAGTCCATCAGCCCAATCCTTTAATCCCAAAATTAAAACCAAATTAATTTTTTATTAAATACTGATTAAATAATATGATTTCTAATTAATATATTATTCTTATAATATATTAATAAATCATTAAATAATCTATCTCTCTCCAATGTCATCCTATCAAGTTGCTATGGTGAAGCCAACCCAAAAGGACCATGCTACTATCAGATAAAGTACATATCAATTATAGTTATGGGCTTAGACACTTAATCCAACAGTCTCCCACTTGGATTGTAGCACCTGGTTCCTGGTATGTATTTCATTTATGTAATTTTACATTTTCGGCCTGGGACTCAGCGAGTTGATGGCCCAACTCGCCGAGTAGAAGCGGGTTAGAACGCGGGGTTTAAGTATGGGACTCGTCGAGTCGGATCCTGGACTCGACGAGTAGGCTCTGTCTGGACAAAAACCCTAATCCGAGGGTTTGCACCCTATTTAATCATCTCATTCAGCCCCCACTTATCCCTATTGCTCCCAGAAACCCTCCCTAGCAAACCCTAAGTGTTTTGGTGCAAGATTCAAGGCTTTTGAGTGATTTTGTGGATTTTGATCACAAGGAAGAAGGAAGAGCATAGAAGGATCAAGAGGAGACTGAGGGATTCGAGTTTGGTGCATCATTTGCTGTTCTCAGAAGGTATAAAGTCTATACCTTGCTTGTTCTTTTGTTAGATCCCTTTTTGGGGAGATTTAGTGCTTTTAAAGTCTATACAACTCGGCGAGTCGAGGACAGGACGTGTTCTTGGTGAAACTTGAAGATCTACACTTTTGGAATGATTTCACGAATGGAATCATGTTAGATCACTAGATTAAGTAAGATATCAACTTTTTAGGACTATAAACACTTACAATGTTGAAGATCAAGAAGAAAAGTCGATGATACTTGAGAGAGAATTGAGTTTTGGATCTTGAAATTGTGAAAAGTGATAAATAATGACTAAGTGTCATATTTATACTCTCTTTTAGGGTTTACGGACGTAAACACCTTTGTTAGGCCGTAAACTCCAAATTCTTGGAGTTTTGGGACATTTTTGTTGCACAATAAACCCTAGGGCATCCTCTCTCCTGTCATCTCCTGAATTACTAACTTTAAAACACTAGAACTTAATCCAAACAGCCTGAAAGTTAGCAGAAACTGTTCTGACTCTTATTGAAGTGAGAAGTTGTACAAAATAGAAATTTTGGGTTGTCACAACAAGGGATTCATTAGACCGAGCAGTTCACCTTGGGGAGCCCCGATTCTGTCTGTGAAGAAGAAGGACGGGTCGCATCGGATGTGTATAGATTATAGGGAGCTGAACAAGGTGACGGTGAAGAACCGTTACCCACTCCCGAGGATTTATGACCTCTTTGACCAGCTACAGGGAGCATCTTGGTTCTCCAAGATTGATATGCGATCAGGATATCATCAGATGAGGGTCAGAGAGGAGGATGTACAGAAGACTGCGTTCCGGACGCGTTATGACCACTATGAGTTCGTGGTGATGTCTTTTCGGGCTCACCAATGCTCCTGCCGCGTTCATGGACCTCATGAACCGCGTGTGTAGA